GAACGGTGTGTCTAAGCCCCCGCGACATGCAAACACTCTCTGTGGTTTACATATTCGTTCTCCGTGTAGCTGTGGTGGCTAGGGAATGAACAAATACCGAAGACACATATTTGCTCATTGGCATTTCAAATTTAATTTATCTCTACTACATCTATGGCTCCTCAGGATTGGCCTCCAAATGGGTTCAGCAATCCTTTTTAGAAGTTAAACCGCAGCTGGGTTTGCACAAAGGATGTGCTTAAAGGTGGATGTTCATTAACTGAGTTCGCCCGGTGGACAATTTGAAGAGAGTGGGAAAAACAGTCTTGATCTATTTCCACCTCCTTCTTTCAAATATTCATAGAGGTCCGAATTCCCTGCCGGAGTAGATGGAAATCGGTTTAAGCAAGCAGGCAACCGAAAACGGATGCGACAGTTTTATCTGGAAATTTCAAATGTCAGGCAGTAAAGTTATGCTCACCGGTAACTTATCAGTGTCATTTACTCATTTCGGTTCTCTAGCTTAATTTGTAAATTCTAGCAATGTATTTTTTATCTAAATGGGCATGTACGGCGCGAATTCTTCTCCGTTGTAGAAATAGATACTTGAGATATTTCCTAGTTCAGTTTAGTTGACCCAATTGTGAAAAAACTTGCGGCATTTGGCGGGATTCGAACCCGCATAGGACAGTGGCCTTTTAGCCAAGCCAACGCTCTACCCACTTGAGCTACGAATGTCGCCTTCACACCGTGAGTTTAATCACACTTGGATCGATATTACCCGCCCAAATATTGCCGTTCACATGTAATCCACCAATGCTGGACAGCAAGTTGACTGCCCAAGCAGGATTTCCTGCTTCCTATATCGGGGTTAATTATTTGAACCTCGTGTCGGTGGTTACGGCTTAGGAAAATATAAATTGGTTGAAATTTCTACTTTGTGTTTTAGTAATGCCGCTGTCGGCAGACAGTGTGGTACAATAGGTCAAACAACCTTTCTGGGTTTCCCTTGCCACCATTGTCCTCTGTATTCGAATTTTCGAAAGCCGCACGAAGGTAACCTAAGGCCTCGTGGATACGCTGCTCAGCCAGCTTCTTGCGTTCAGTGAGAGTGACACTTAAATCAAGGGCCTGTGTGCGCCAAACACAGCCGTAGCCTCTGTTTACTTGATTAAGTCCGCACTCGTCAAAGGTTTTAAGTACTGAAAAAGCCTCAGATATGCATCGCCGCCAATCACGGAAGTTGTTCAGAATATCTTTGGAAAGCTTTGATCGCGGGTCATCATAGGGACCCTTTGAGCCATTGTAGAACTGACAGGAAAAGACAAAAATTAACTAATTAAGAGATAAGAAGATAGAAATAGACAACGATGCTGCATTTCAAATGCCCTCTACTGAATGAGAAATAGTTTATTTCTGGAAGCAAGTCTGACAGACAAGCTTACATTCCAAATAAATTCAAAAATGACGGTCAATCTGTGTTTATAACTAGCGTTTCAAACCATAAAAGAGACTGAAAATCTTACTTAGACAAAGCAAAAAATAGCTCCTAAAATGTAAGTAAAATATTAGTGAACACGCACGGCTTACGCCCACAGTAACTGAAACTTGAAAACACCGCTCTCCATCTGGAGTGCGTTTGAGGAGTCAGGACCTTGTCAGTAGGTTTGGAATGATCATTTATCAAGTAATGGTTTGATGATTCTCTGTGTTTCATGCTTTACAATTATTTCCGTTAAAACACAATTGTGCACCAGATTTTTAGTTTTTTTTTAAGAAATCATAATATTTATTTTACGAACGCTAGAGTTTTGGAGTGCAACTTGCGCTTTCTCGTGTTCTAAAGCATTCAGAGCTGCGCTTTTACCATGGCCATCCTTTATTCCACCGTGTTTCTGCAAACGGTGTTTTGAACTTCCTACTGTTCCGAAACACAATTTCGATATATCTTTGAAAAACCTATTGAATAGAATCTGCACGCAATCTTTCGGTAAAATCGCGTCGTTTCGAATATTTTTAAACCGAAATATGTCATAGTTCCCATCACAAATCTACAAAAGAGTGATTTCTTGTAAACATATGAAAGGCAAATATATCCTTCTTATCTTAGGTAACATAAGTGATCTTAAGGAACAGAGAAAAAGGCTAAACATATCGACTGCGTGGATGAACAAGTTTCAGTTGTGTAGAAGTTTCCGTAAGAGAGCCTTACAAGTTGATCCAACATATTCTAACCCGCATATTGCTAGTGCAATTTTGTTTACATAAAATGCTATCTCTCGGCACAGATCTAAGCCTCTGGGTGACATTTTACGAGTTTTCTAGTTTTCTTATAATTCATCAGATAAAATAAGAATAAAACTTAAAACTGCTTTTTAACGAAATAAATCTTAAGTATTTAACGCATTTTACTGAGGAGAAGAAGAATATGTGATCGCTGGTATGAGACTTTTATTCGCCTTGCGTTTCGAAGTCCGTCACAGATTCTTCATCAGAGACGTTAGCATCAACAGTAGCAGAAACGGGTAATTCATGCACAGGGAGTTGCAGTATTTATGGGACACAGTCAGTAGGATACTGCACACTTATGAAAATTAACGACTCCCCTATCGAGGATAATTGTCCCCTTGTTTGCTAATTGCCTGATGGCCGACGTGCGGACTGAACCTTCATCACACGAGGTGGAATTGGACATTATAATTGCTCGACCATCTGACACTCTGACGCTAGCGTTAGATGACGCGTTGGCCTGCCCTTTCCCCGAGTGACGACTTGCTTGTCTTAATCTAGCCTCAGCAGCGAACATGGATTGGGCAGGTCGTTGCGCTTGTATACAGACTGGAGGTCCGTGAACCATGGCTCAAGTAGCTTGCGACCCGGCCTCCGAGGCGTGTTGACAAAGGGAATCTCAGAGGCCGTCAGCCGCTATCTCGCACCACTTCGACTTGGAGTCGCACACAAGACTAAGGCAACCATAAGGCGTCGAATAATAAAACCACAAAACCCATTGTCATGGCAAGAAACATCTGGAATCGTCTACAGGATCTGGTGCAGTTGCGGAACAAGGAAATTACGTCAGAGAAACTGGAAGACTTCCCAAGACGCGGATTGCCGAACCCGCGGCAGCAATGCAGATAAATGACTCCAATTCTCAAGTCGAGACTCAGTCGACGAGACCCGGCCAAACCCAAACATTTGATGAGGCCTAAATTCTCACAAGAGGTGACAATCATGTGGGTCGCGAAATAATTGAGTCATGGTTCACGGTCCCCAGTCTTTATACAAGTGCAAAGACCTGCTTAATCCATATTCGGTGCTGAGGCTCAGTTTGGTTAAAGCAAATCACCGCTTGGGGAAAGTACAGGCCAACGTGTCACCTAGCCCCAGCACCAGGGAACCAGATGCTCCAGCAACCACCACGTCCAATTTCACCACGTGTGATGAAAGTTCAGCAGTTCGCGGTCCGCACTTCGGTCATCAAGTAGTTAGCGCACAAGCGGGCAATTATCCTCGATAGGGGAGTTTTTAATTGCCATAAGTGTGCAGTAGCATAATGACTGTATTCAATAAATACTGCAACTCCCTGTGCATGAACTACCCGTTTCTGGTTATCTCTCTGATGAAGGAATCACGACGGGTTTCGAAACGTCAGGCGCATAAAATTATTGTCCCATCACATCTTGACACTCGTTGATGAACGCTCACCAACCGCTAACGGACCTCACTTGTCCCGCTCTGTCTAGGTTTAATTTCTCGAGTCCTGACAACTGCCGTAGGGGCCAGTAGTCCAGGCAGCTATTATTGCCGGCAAGGACAAAGGAGATTGAGGAGAGTCGATAGCTCCCGACCTAAACTGGCATAACAAAGAGCTCGCGGGTCAATGGTTAGAACATTATACTCTGGTCAAAAAGGATGCATGTTCGAGCCTCGGGTGGTGCACCACTTGGGACCGGGTATGACTGGTTGTCGACGGTTAATAAGCCAGAAATGACCATTCCAATCTCCCTTGTCTTTGTCGGCAACAACAGCTGCCTAGATCACATCTCCTCAATTACTTCCTGGGGCTCACATGTTCGCTTGCGATGGCAACTCGTTTGATGTCATCTAGTAATAACGGTAAAACATGTTGAATTTATAACAATTCTTATGTCCTGGGACCCGAAATCCTGATTACAGGTGTATGGTAGACTAGCACATTAGTCCAAAAGACCATTACGAATAGCTTTCTGATCTCTGCAGTTCACTTAACGTAAGGATTAACGGTTGCCGTAAAATTGGAAAAACCAGACTTGATGCAATATCTTTTATGTGGTAGTTTGTTTGGAGTTGTGTCTGCCTGGAACATCTTCAATGACATCAAGAAATAACAAAAAAAAAGATTTTCTTGAAAGGATATACATCGAAATCCCTTGTCTGAAAGAATTTGAGGGGCTTTTGTGGCACTCCCACGCAGCTGGGATCCAAGTTAGGTGTGGCGGCACGCATAGGGGCGGCTTCGGTCACGCCAGCCACCTGCGCCCGATCCCTCCTCGGATATTTTTGATTCTGTCTTGACACCAGGCGCAGATGGAAGAAGGAAGAGAGTGCCAATAGAGGAGAATATTCGAGTTCCAGGAAGCAGTTCAGAAGAAGAAGAAG